TACTGAAAATTACCACGTATTTTTCTCCAGGACTTGTGTATAATGTACAACAATAATCAGCTAAAGTACAATCTCCACGTATTTTTCTCCAGGACTTGTGTATAATCAGCTAAAGTACAATCGGTTGTTCATAGAGATCTGTATCTGAACAACAACAACAAAAAATCATATAAAACATACGGTATGTTATTTTCTTCCTTTCTTTTTCTTTCTTCAGATTTTCTGAACCACCTTTGGAGTAGAAGCTGGTAGCTCCAGCACCCCCATTTGCACTGAAGAATGCCACTGGGAGGAAGCCAGTATCTCCTTGTGGTTTAAGGAGAATTCAGACATGCTCATTTCTTCTCTCTAATTGCATTACGCAAACTACTCCCATTCTTTGCCATCAACCAATTCTGAAGCTCCTTCAAGTCAAAGACATTTTAACAGCAAGTCCATTCCTAGTTTATTGCCTAAATGCAGCAGCCCAGTCTCTGACCTCATATGTTCGAATTTTTGCCACCGTCTCACTTGCTTTACACAAGGCAACTTTCAAAACGTGGGTGGCTGTGTAAAAGCGTGAGTGGCGTTTGCTGAACGTGCAGTGCATGCAACGCAGAGCAAGAAAAAGCAGCTTATTGTGTGCAGCGTGATCACAAACCCCTCAGTTTCAATGTTGTCTAGACGATACCTCAGATAACCCATTACGTACAATATCCAATGATGGGAACGCAAGTGCTCTTTCCTCCGCAGGAAATCCAATCAGCACCCATTACTTCCAGGGAAAAAGAGGAAGTCGCGGGGTTTAATGGCCTAATTCACTTTCCAAAAAGCCTCATGTCCCAGCAGAGAGAGGAACCTTTTGGATGTCTTCAGACACTAATGACTCCGTTAGTTATGATAACTCACATTCCATGACTGAGCTTCACAACCACATGGACTTTCCTTCACATCTTACAACATCACCCGTACATAAAGACTGCCATTTTAGATTTACTTACCGTTCTTGGCACTTCCTTCCACCAGTCTTTACCTGTAGCCAGGAGAGTGTTTTGTCTCCAACGTTATATCAAACTAAGTAACGCCACCACCACAATAATAATATTAAGATGATAAAATCATCTAACCATTAGAAAAGTAATTCAAAGAGCTTTAGAATAAAATTTTGAGAAAACTTGAAAAGGACAACACGAATATTTTTCACACTTACAAGATTTTAAGAAGCAATTCAGCATGATATTCAGCACGTTCAGGGAGCGCAGATTACAAGACAAGGCGTTCTTGCTTCTGGTTTGCTGGGGTTTTTTCTTTCTCAAGTTTTTCTTTCTTCCTCTCTTCCCTGTTATTATCCATCTCGCTCTTCAGGTTGCCTTGGCGTAGAAATGGTGATCCAGGATCACAGCTATTAACAATACACGGAAAAGGAAGAAATATTGTCTCCCTGCTCAGGCGGGTCCTCCCAAAGGTGTGCATGGCACTATCACCAGACCAGAGAGTTAATAGCAGACCTGCCTTTTTCTTGTACCCATATAGCATGTGGAGAATAGAAGGCTTGAGCCAACTTAAAAATAATAAGTAAATGCTCCCCGCCTTTCCTCCCCCCCCAATCTTTTTCTAGCTCTCTCAAAAATGTGGGTAGAGCAACCAGTTATGGACTTAAACCAAATATCCATTAGTTTTCAAGAGTGCCTTTGCTCAAATATATCATCCAGAGTAAAGCGGTAACTCCCTCGCTACGCCTGCCCGGCAATTAGGAAGACCGTTGGCTTTCCTTCAGAGCAGAGGACTGTGGTTTCAGTAAGTCCAGTAACCCTTTTTCAACTGTTTGCAGTCTTTACCTCTCACACCTTCCCCAAGGCTGGGCACGTAAGGCGTTCTGAGACGTAAATAACCTGTGAAATCCTGCTGCGAGCGTGTACGAACTCCTTACCGCTCTGTAAATAGCAAGTCAGGTTTGAGAGCCATACGGTATCGCCAAAAACTAGAGACCATTGTACCGCTGGAGTAACGCGTGAGAGTAGACAGGAAAACTGCAGCACGGTATTTTCACATCAGGATCTGTACAGCAAAAGATTCGGGAAGGGTTCCAAACTGTGGGTATTTTCTAACCCACTCTAAATCCAACTTTTGCCCTATACCAGATCAGAGTATCAATTTCAAGGGAATCAGCTTAAGAGCCAGTGCAGCCTTAGAAAACGTACTCCCGTTGTGTACTCTGCAAACACTTGCTCTTGTGGCACATTTATTTAATGCACAGGCATGCAAGAAGTAATCTGCTGTTCTGCCTTGCACCGATTACTTTCAAGGACTCCCATTTTGCCTGGGAGAGAACAGATATAAATAATTATAGAATAAAGCGTTGTCAGAGAATAATGCTCTCTGGTGGCTTCAGTCCAATAAGAGTCAAAGCAATCGTTAAGACTTTCATGGAAAAGGGCGACCATCGATTCTATGAGGATAACACTTTATTACAGTGCCTCGTTTCTATTACGCCAAAATAAAGTAAAATATCTTAGTCCTTTTATTTTTTTTTTTAAATGTATAGTGTAGCATACATATCTAATTTTGGCCTTTTTTAAATGACCTTGGAAAGTCAGAAACATTACTATTTCTTTCTAATGCTGAACTCAGTGTGCAACACAGGGGTATTTCAAACACAAACATCATGATTTATGTGATAACTTGTAAACTAGAGAGTATAATGTTCCAAAATCAGTTCCTGCTTCTTTCACTTCTCTCCTAATGTTTATTACTGAAATGTAGATTCTTTCTCCAACTAGAAAAGGTGCATCATAAAAAGTTATAATTTCTACATTTGTCCAACTTGTACATACACCTGTGTATTGATAGATGATCCAGACTAACTTATAAGGTCTCACTTTTTCTCAAAGACAAAAAAGACATGTATTTTCTCAAAGACATGAGTTTATACGTCACATCCCGGAGTAAAATGTCTCAAGATGTTATTATCATTTCTTTGAAGGACATCAACGGTACATTAAAAAAAAAAAGTGAGAAATTAGAGAACATTTCAGTTCCTGATTACTCATTGAATGTTCTGGATCTTAAGTAAAGCTGGACAGATTTCTAAGAATATTAATTAGTCCTCTTAAGGACCACACAAAAGGAAAAATAACAGTGACAATATTAAACACTTATGCAGATACACATCATCCTTTTATACTACTATTTCTCCGTAACTATACAAGAAGTCCATTTCTATCTTCTCCCCAGTATATTCATTACAAAAGTAACTCTAAAATATGACCAACTTGTTTCTAAGTTTTCATTAATGACAGTTTTATTCTGCTTTATAGCTTAATATATGGAATTTACTAGGGTTTGGCAGTATATGCCTGCAGTTAGTTTCTTTTCAAAAAAGGCCAAGGGTGTTGAAGGCTTGGACACGATTCAGATTGTAGTGTGCGCTGATTTTACGAATGCTGCGTTTTTCAACTGTAAGCCGTTTACATCAAGGTGATTTCTGAGTCAAGTGAGATGCGGTTGAAAAGCATGCCGAATTTAAATTTCACCAAAATACGTTATAGCTATTGAACAAATGAATCATCAATTTTACTTAACATAATTCATCTTGAAACTTATATGTGCGTATGTATTGCATCAATTATCACAGATCACCAGGAATATGCAGTCAGTACATCCATTAATCATCCACTGAGACACCTTGGAAAAGGGCAAAGTTTCAACCATGTCTCAAACTACATACATATTGGGAGAAGAAAATCTGTTTCAGAAGCGAAATGTCATGAAATCATCCCTGCACCAAAAATAATAGTAATAAAAAAAGCTTACTGGGTTCGTTTCAAATAAACAAGGACAGAATTGCTGAGGCAGATTACTTTTATGAATGCCATAAAAATAAACTATTTTAATAGATACATAAATAAAAGGTTTAAAGTAGAATTTTTCCCCCCAAACATAAAGATGGCCTAGCTTCTGTACAGAAACTGAACAATATTCACGTGACTACTAAATTAAATAATCACTTTGTTACATTCAAAATAATTGGAGGCAAATACATAATGAAATGATGCACCTGAATCATTCTCCTTTCTCATCCTAGCAGTGTATACAGTATTTTCTTGTTTTACAGTACTCTGAGGATATGGATCTGTTAAATAAAACTCTGAATGATAAGAGTGGAAATAAAATTAAAAATCAAAGGAAAAAACCTCACAAAACCAGCCAACCCTAGCACCCAAAGGGGTACCTTGCATCACCCAGTAATTAAAGTTTTAATGGAAGAGAAATAAGTATTGTGCTGTAAAATAAATTACGTCTTTTACATATTGTTGTATAGTTTTCTTAAAGTGTTTAAACATTACATTCACTTTGGTGATGTTATTGGTCTATGCCTATAATAAATTATACGTGGCGTGTGCTAGCTGTTCACGTGTGTTGAATAACAACCTCCCGGTTTTACTACAAATGGGGGGAGCTCAGCACATCCAGGACATTTTTACAATATTTCTGATTTATGTAAGACAGACAAAGTCCAATTCAAAGCAGCTTTCCTCCTATCGTGCCCCCCTCCCCAGCACCGCTAAAAAGTTACCCTATCGGCTTCATGGTTTTGCTGTGTTGTATCAAGAATGTCACAGGTTGGTGACTAACTCTTTCTGACCCACAGAGGTTCTCAAGTTTTCTTTTTCCTTTCTCTCTCTGAAACACCTGTCAGTATGAGAATATCTGCCATTAACATCTCCATACTCTCCAAACATTCCAACTAATTTAGGCAAGGAACCACCATTTGTCCATGGAAAATGAGTTTACTGAAATCAGGTGTCATTGCCGTTGTTATCCGGAACGTAGCTGCGATGGGTGAGCACCATTCATCCTGTAGAGGAGAAAGTTTGTCGTGGGGATGTTGACGTACACTCAAGGCAGAGTGTTGAGATATCTTGTGCTGGTGAAGTCAGAGAAAAAATTAAAAGATGACAACTTTCATCCATAGTGCAGAGCTAGCATTTCTAGTATATTCTGTCAGAAGTTCAAGCAAGTTGGGCCAAGCTGACTTAGACTTGGCAAAAGAGCATGCCTAGAGTCTATCCACCAGCAAGACGTGAACGGCAATGTAACGATTGCCCTTTTTTCCGATTAGCTTTTTTCTTGTTCTTGTTCTTCTTTTGCTTATTCACACCTTTACTTTTATCTGACTTCTTTTTCTTTTCGTCCTCCTTAAACCACGGACCCCAGACTCCTCCATTCAGCTTCGGGTTACTCCGAGGGTCCTTCGGTGGGTATCGAACGGGAACCGCGGTCTTATTGAACTGTGAAAGCCTCCGCAACAACTGCTTCACTACATCTGGGTACCTTGCAGAGAGGTCCACTCGTTCGTACGGATCAGCAGTTATGTTGAAGAGCCACACTGTTTTGCCAGCTGACCAAGAAACGCGTTCGTTGTGCCAGCGGTTGGGGCCCGCGTTACTGAAGGCCTGTGGAGGTACCCAGTCGCTATAGCCTGGATTTCCCGTCAGTAGTTTCCAATGATTCACTCTGATGGCAGATTGAATCGCAGTGTTCCAGATCCCGTAGCCAGCTGCCCAGGACCCATTTTTGGCTTTGGTGTAAATCGGGTCAATGTTGTGCAAGATGTCTACCCGTGGAGAACGCCTGCCTTCACTAATGGTTTCCCATATATCATAGCCATCCAACTGGATGTCTTCATCGATCTGCCCTTCTGCCAGCGTGATCAAAGTGGGGAACCAGTCTGTGATGTGCACAAGCTCCTTACACACAGACCCTTTGTTTTTCAGAAGGGGGCTATGGACGAACCCAACAGCACGGATACCTCCTTCCCAATAGGTCCCTTTGCTTCCTCGGAGAGGCCAGTTACTTCCTCCGGCCATCGGCTGCCCACCATTATCTGAAGAATATATGATAATGCTATTCTCATAGTAACCGTACTTCTTTAAAGCAAGGGTTACGTTGTTTATGGCTTCATCCAGACAAGCTAGCATCGCGGCATATCTTCGCCTGTTGATGTTATTTATCGATCGATAATGTTCAAAATACTTGCCTGGCGCCTGAAGAGGCGAATGAACAGCTTGGTAAGCAATATATAAGAATAGAGGTTTCCTGGGGTTATGAGAAGCTAAGATTTGTTGTACTTTTTGCGTGTACATCTGCGTCGAGTAGATGCCGTTGTCGTGATCCCAAGCTGCGTTGTCGTTCTCATACAGGTCATAGCCACATATCCCAGGGCTGTCACATTTGAAGTGCGTGTAATAGTCGCCGCTGCCTAAGAGCGAGCCGAAGAAAGTGTCAAACCCTCTCTGCGTGGGCATGCATTCTCTGCGGTAAAACCCCAAGTGCCATTTGCCGACCATGTGTGTTGAATAACCAACCTCCTTCAGCTTCTGAGGTAGCGTGACGTTATCCAGAGGTAAGCAGTTGGGCTGGGTTGGCCGTATAATGGAGTGCTGAAGGCCGGTGTGTATCTGGTACCTGGAGGCAGGGAGGAGGAAAGAAACGTTCAGGCCCTTGTGCACGGACACCCGCGCTCATAACCGCAACAGAAAATATTCCCGTGCACGCAGCAAGTTTCTCTGGAAATATTTTGAAGTGCATATGTCAAAAACTAATGAGGTCATACCATTAAATCTGCTGAAACAGGAAAACGGCACCTGTTTCACTCCACAAGCGTTGAAGAGAGGTTCCCCCACCTCCTCTGGCCGGTGGGCAGCAATACTGAACGACGAGCAGGACACAGCAGCATCACACGCTGCTCTCCCTGCTGACCTCATTTTTAACAGCCCCATTTCCTTGTAGCTGTGAGCAACGCCAAAGGATCTCAGAGGCCACGCGCTGCCTGGGAACCATTACTTGGGCACAACTATTTTAAAGCTAGCAGTCAAACTCACTAAATCCCTTCCGTATTGCACAAACCCTCAAAAGCAGAACGATCGCCTTGTTTTTTCTGAGCGTGAACAAGTTCTACAGCTCTGACTCGGGACCAGCTCTCGCGGTGTACGCGATACCGGACCTCCGACAGTCTGATTTCTGGTCATCCATCACGTGTACGGGCTGTGACTTAGGAGAGATATTAGTAATGTTGTAACAACCGAGTCAGTGGTCAGCATGCACGCGATGGGGCTGGCTCCGGTGTATATCTCCTGAGTAAGAGACGTGAGCGTGCGCGGATGGCAAGGACCCCGGCCAAAACTCATAGACGCACATGCAGTTACAGTGAAAGAGGTTGACGAACGATCGCTCGAAGGGAAGTGATGATTTCATCACTGCATCTCTTGTTCGGCAGTCATTTTCTGTCCTTGCCTAACTGTTGGATGAAATGTTTCCCTCCGTGGGCCGAGTTAGCCAAAATACCTATATATACAGGAGCACAGGTATTTTGAGGTACTTTTTTTCCTCCACAGAAAGCTTTCACATGTCCCCATTTCACAATGATTATAGAAGATTACGGGCATAAATACGATTTTTACAATGCCTCATAATTTGCTAGTGGTAAACATATCGACGGCATAGAAATATGCTGGACTTTGAGCATGTAACAGCGGTATATTTAAAGGGTAGGATAATAAATTCTGCAGTGCAGTACAGTCTATGTGTAAAGAATACATATGGCCTCCACATGATTAGAAAATGAATTCAGCATGGGCAGTAGTAAGTATCAAAAAAATCAAGAAGAAATCCATTTATATCGGTTTGACTCTAAAAAATAAAACGTTAACAGCACATTGTAAATTAAAGACTTCTCCCCGAGTGTGAGAATAGATTAAATTCCCAGTCCTGACTAGAACAGCTGGGCCCCCCAATACCGTGAATCTTCCCCAAACCCACTTTTCTATTAATTTGTAGGAGTTGGGATTCCTGACACATTCTGCTGGTATTGCCAATCCAATGGGCCTCCTGAGCTATCTAGAAAATTAAAACCATTACGCTCTGCCTGTCCATAAATAACTTACAGTCTGCTTTTATACGATGTCTTCCTGGCCAAGATCTTAGAAGGCAACATAGATGTCTTTAATGCCTGCCAATCTGTAATAATTGTGTAACTCCCATTTTATTCTTGAACTTATTTTCACAGCACCAGAAGCTCTAGTCTCGGTAATTTATTGCAGAAGCTCTGGGTGTTGCACTCCTCTGCTTTATGCTAGCCCGTACCCAGCGCCGCTGCCGCTTTTCTTTGTCTCTCCGGCGCTTTTTCAGAGCATCGTCTCCGTTAGCAGTTGGTGGACCTGGAGCCCTGCCACCCAATTGTCCCCAAACTCACAAGCCAGTGCTGACACCGGAAATATTGCAGCAGCTAAAGCATAATCTCAAAATTATGGATTTCTGGGATCTACGCTTTGCTTTTGTAGAAGAAAAAAAGAAAAAAAAAAAGCGCGTCACGCGCGCATAAATACCCACATCTTTCCCGTGATTCAAGTATAATATTCTTCTCATTTAAAACAGGAAAAGTACAATAGTGAAAGCAGGCTAACGGCAGTGCCCCACGCTTCGGTTCACTCCGTCTTTGAGAGTCCTCGGGGAAATATGTTCACAAGACATTTAATTTCCTTCCTCTTCTCTTTCCTCTGCCTTGCTAAACGCTGGGTAAATCTCCCTTATTTGATCCACCCTGCTATTTTGGTAAATAGCTTCTGGTTTCTTACACCTTGACAGCCTCCTCTATCTTGAGATCACCTCCCAGTCCCAGCCGGACAGTTTTTCCCCTAATAAGCTAATTTTGCTGGATATCAGAATTTTCTCTAAGGCAATGTTGTTGTAATAGAGATCCTTCCACCCTCCTCCTCGACACAGAAGCCGAGCCTGGGCGGGGGGAACGGGCAACAGAGTTTGCGACGCATCGCAAAACCAGTTTGCCTCTTGACAAAGCCTACACAGAAAGTACGATATCCCTACAAAGTTAATGCTCGTAAAGAATTCACCAACAACGCATAGATTCCCCAGCTAGGGCTTCCGAATTGTATATCCAAGCATGAAATTCCTGCACTGTTAATCTGACAAATACTGAACAAAAAACAAAAATAAAAATATCCAGAATTAGCCTCAGTTATACATAGTTGTCTTAGGAAAATATCTGGCATACAGCAATTTTGACTTATTTCAGCGGTCTGCTCGGTAAGTTATTCAACACGCTGGCTATAACACAGTCCTGCCTCAATTCTCTGCCTTTTTTCACGAGACTTTGGCGTGCTTCCCACACGCGTGTGTGCGTTTGCTATTTACGGCATCGCCACGCTTCTGAATATACGTATATGTGCACCCATATAAAGAGATATGTGGTTTTATATCCATATATGTAAAAAGGGATCTGCAAAATAATCAGTTTTAAGTAAAAATACGTCAACTGTAGAAACGTTGCAAAGAAATATCAACCTCTAATTATCAGTGTTCTTCACTGTTACAACAAGGGTCAAAATTTGTTCACTTCTGTGCCACGTGCCTTCCTAACTGACCCATTATTGGCCAATATTACATTTGCAGCGGGAGTATTTTGTTTTCAAAGGACTTGCAGACCATTCACGGGAAAACAAAGTAATCTGAGCAAAGGACGGTGATTATATGGAAGTAAATGGCATTAATAGCGATAGGAAAAGTGTCTCAACCTTAGTGTTTGGAAACTGTATTTAGACTGTGCAAGAGAAGAAGAAAAAAGCTGAACAAGGCTTTGAGCACAAAGGAAATCAGAGGCAGATGCTGATTTTGGGGGAGTTGCCTCACCAGCCCAAACTGCCATGAAATGTCTGTGAAATACTTTTTATAAATGTCTGTGAAATACTTTCTATAGATTTCATCGCTTTCCAACACAAGACTAGCTAATTCCTTAGAATAAATTGGTTGAATTGAATGCCAACTGTAGAAAGCAAGTTATGATCACGAATAGTCTGGAATTCGTTATGATAATTACACCACTAGGAAACAGTTCCATATAAGCCAATGCTGACAGGCCACAGAATCTAGTTTTATAGGTTTTTAGACTTTGACCTTTATGGACAGCATTTACATAAAGGTAATAGACTGATAATATTCTGTATAAAGTATAGGGCTTGAAGACTTGAGAATACTTTACGGGCGTGTACTGTGCTCTCTTTCTCCCTGTCCCTCCAAGATTTTAGATCGTGGCTGTCGTCTCTATTAAACACCTGAAATTTGCAGAACAAGGAACTAAGTAAAATTTATGGGAAAAGTTCAGCTAATAAGACGCGTATGGAAAATTAATTCATCCTCTCTACATGGGGCTGGCTCTTCTTTGCGCATTTTCTACTCTTCCTTCTCTTTTACTGGTGGGGAAGTTGTTCAGATGTTTACAGCAAAACCACTGTGATAACTGTTCCAGCTAAGGCAGCTGTTTAATGCTGGTGGACTGTTGCACCGCTCTGTTTACTTGTTTGTAGTGGAAACTTTAAAGCAACGGACTCCCGGAGGGAGTATCTCGATGACTTCATAGGTCCTTTGCTTCTCGGATGCCGAGAGAAATATTTCGGAGGTTTCTTTAAATAAACAAACAAACAAATAAATCCTCCATCCTGAGTCTGAGCTCCTGACGCTGCTTCCCAACATGATCTCCCCTCCCGTTTGTAACCCAGAAAGACACGAAGCTCAGCGGGTGGCTGTTACGTCACTCCTACCTTCAGCCTCAAGGTGCAGAGACCACGAAGTTGTCAAAGGTCAATTGGACACTCAAGTGCCAGAGTCCTTCTGGATGTAAATCACCACGGGGACTCTACAGTCAGTTTGACCTGAGCTTGAGGAATGCATTAACATTTGGAGGCTTAATTTCCCCCTTCTGATGTCCTTAGTAAAGCTAAAAATGAGTTTCCCACCTCTCATCCGGAGAGTGAACCAAAGCAGAGAAGTGGCTCGATGACAGTAATCTTTACACATTTGCACTGCTATTCCCCCGAAGCAGAGAGCAAGGCTTCAGCGCTGTGCAGCAGAAGGGATTCTCCTGGCGTGCCACACGTCCCCACGGTGCTTCTGCAGTCTTCGACATACGTAGGCTGAACCATTCTCCTTGGAAAAAAGCTGCCCTGAGGAGTTTTCTACTGAGTGTTCTCCCCCTTAACTTCGGGGGGGGGGTTCTGCACTGAGAAAGAAGCTGGGATGTTTCTAATTTTGCAACGTGCATGTTCAAAACTATTGATTTTAAGCTTTCGTAATTTTAAAATGCTGCATTAATTGTCTTCAAACTGAGATTCCTTGAAGAAGCACAGTTTGAAGTTTCTCATTTCAGGAACTTTTGCTAGCACAGTTCTAGTTAGTACATGTGGAAAATGTATTTTTATTAAGCTTACATAGCTCAGGATATGTCAAAAATTTTTTTCTCAATTTTTAAAATAATAAACTCTAGCCTAGGATTTAGAAAAGAATATTTTAAAGCAAAAAAAAAAAAATCATTTGCCGGAAGGAGTTGCAAACAGAGCGATAGCACTGAGGTGTGCTACATTAATTAAAGGGATCGTTATTGATGATTATGCATT